GATTCAAGTAAGCATGAGAATTTAGTACCTGAGAATGACACATTTTAAAATCTGTGGGATAAGAATAGAATATTCAATATGTACAAAGTTGTTGGCCAAATATTAAGCCCCAAAACTTCAGTTCTGCATCAATCCATAAACCAGGATGAGTTCAGATAGACAAAATGTTTAAACTGGATTTCTAAGCAGAAGGACGCTGTATGTGAGTGCGGACTTGGGATTATGTAGCCTGAGTTTGGCTCCCACCTGTCCGTAAGTCACTGGCTTCGTGACCTTGGGCAGGTTTAATTAACCACTTCATGCCTCAATTTCCTAAGATAGGGATGACGAAGCATCTTCCTGTTATGAGGATTGAATGAGTTAGTACATGCAACAGGTGTAGCCTGGTGCATGTAAGAGCATTTGAGAGTAGTTGTTATCATCGTCACCATTGTCATCATCATTGGAGTAAAACTGTAAAAGCATTACAGGAAAATGTGATAGATACTTTTATGAACTTGGGGGTGGAGGAAATACATAGAATCATGAAATCATGAAAGATCAACAGATTCGCTATTTAAAACTGCACATGGGGAAGTACTTCTGAACAGTGAGTGAAGTATGGGGTCACGAGCCATAGGAGGGACAGTAGGTGAGGTAACATTGTTTTCTTGCTTCCTGCAGTAAAGCCAGGCCTGGCCAGTGCCTGGGAAGAGCTTATTTGAACATTTTCCACACTGTCGTGGTTTTCATTAGAGCTGCTGTGTGAGTTCTCCTGGGTGATGTAACAGACTTCCACAAACTTGGTGTCTTATGTAGTTTATTCACTTTGTTCAGCTCTGGAGTCCAAAAATCCAAACTCAAAGTGTTAATTTGTGTTCCTAAATATTCTAGGGGAAGCCTTCCTAATTTCTAGTGGTCCTGGGCCTTCCTCCTCCTGTGATATGCCTGTCAGTGGACTGACCTCCAGTCCTAGCCACTGAACTTAGGGACCTCCTTGGTCCAGTATGACCTCATCTTAAGTAAATGCTATCGATAAAGACCCTTTTCCCTGGGCAGACATGAGTTGAGGAAGCATTTTTGCCACAGTTTTATCCTCCCTTTCATGGAGAAAACAGCTGTAGGCCTGTCTGGGAGAGGTGTGCATCAAGGAAGTCTCCAGAACAAATCAGTAGCTTACTGGGAGCTGGTGCGAGTGAAGGCACATGAACAGAGGTACCGTGAGGGAAGCCAGAGAGCCCTCAACTAGTCATGCCCATGGCTTTCCCTGAGTTGACACTCCCAGAGGTTTGATGCTAGGGACGGCAGAGAGGTTCTAAGACTAGGAGGAGAGTATTGGTCAGCAGAGGTTGTGTGCTTCTAGCTTGTATGAGGCCTTGAGTGCAGTCTCCAGCCCTGGGAGATTGGAGTTGATAGAAACATAACAAATGTTTTCAAAGACAGGTAGGGCCAGCAAGGTGGCTCAGTGGGTAAAGGTGCCTGCCAGCAAGGCTGACAACCTGAGTTCATTCCTCCAAACCCACAGCACAGACATACAGATGCACACACAGACACACACATGCATGCATACTACCCAGAGTGCACATACACCTATTTTAAAATAAAATAAGAGGTGTGCATTTAGTTATATGTAATATTGACAGACAACAGTCATACACTAGGCCATGAAGAACAAATTGGAATGTCTAAAGAAGCTCTATTGTTAGACTTTAGCAGATTATAAAATTAAATACCAATATAAAAATTGTGTATATGGGTACGTACCTTATCAGGGGGAGGGTTCAGATTCGCATTAGATCCAGAAGGGTGTCCAGACCCATGAAGAGTGTTCACAGAAGAACTCTTAGTTTCAGAGAAAAAGACAATATATCTCTTTATAATCTCCAGGGAGTAACTTATTCCTTTAATGTATCAGGGTACAAACAGAAAAGTATTACTGGTCATGTTTACCTCTTGTCCTAGGATCTGAAAGTTAGCTTTGTTTTAAAAGTATATGTAAGTAATTTAGCCACATAAATAAAACAAAATCCTTACTTCCCCTCTTCTGTCAGCCCCTCCCTGCTCCTTATGGCCAGCTCCTGGTAAAAGGTGTCCTCCTGAACCTAAGGAACTCTGCTCTCCCCCAGAGGGCAGCTGACTGGGTGAACAGGTCTGCAGATGCCTGGCTGCCAGCCCCGTTGAGCACTGCTCATAGCTGTTCTTCTTGGACGCTGTCCTCACCTTGTCTGCTGCTTCCCTCACCAGCTGCTCTCCAGCCCCTTTCCCAACCCCTCCCTTTCCTTTTCTGTGAGAGGCACCAAGCTTTTCCCCTAACTACTCTTCTTCCTTGAAGGAAGGCTCCTAGGGGTTCTCATTCATGCCTTCAGTTTCTCCTGCCTTGGTGAGGTAGATGAGCCTGACCCTTAACTGTCTTCCTCACAGGATCAGTTTGTCTCCTGTGCATACTCTTTTCAGGTGTCCTGGTTTGTTCCGCAGTAACTCATACTACCCTCAAAATACTGGCAGTTTGACCGGTAGGCTTGTGTCTGGCCCAAGGACAAATGAAAATCTTGTTTCCTCTTTTTATTTTATATTAGCTCTAATGTCTTAGGAGAAATTTTAACTGAAATAACTTAGAAAACAAAAATCTGTCTCTTTGGTTGATCTAGATTATCAACGAACAGTAAAATGAAAAGGTTTCTAGCTTATATATTTCATAAAAGTGAAAGACAGGGATAGCAGAGAAGAAGGGAGCTAGCTTTGTTAATTAATATAGGAAATACTTGAGAAGATTCGGGGCTTGGATTATGAGTTCAGATGCACAGGTCTCCCTGTATGTGTGACCTTGGAGAGGTTCCAGTTTCTTAATTTTCCGAGTACACAGGACAGCAGACACCACTGGCTGGATTTAGTGTGCACCTAGATAGAGCTTAGGAGGCACTCTAGCTACTGTATTGTTAGCATTTCATGGTCTTCACTGAAGCTCAGCCCTGGAGCGGAGAGATGGCTCAGGTAAAGGGCTTGCTGCTCAAGCATGAGGTCCTGAGTTCTCTCCCCAGAGACCACATAAAAAGTAGGCACGGAGGCACATATCTACAGCAGTAGTGCTTCAGGGTGACAGTAGAGATGGGCAGATTCCAAGAGTTGGCCAGCTGTGCAGTCTAACTGAAACAGCAGTGAGAGACCTAAAAAGGTGGGGGGAGGGGGCCAGTTGTTGTGGTGCATGCCAAAGGCAGGCAGATTTCTGTGAGAGTTTGAGGCCATAGCAAGAGTTTCAGGCCAGTCAGAGTTACTCTGTCTCTAAAACAAACACACACACACAATAAATAAAAAGGACAAATAAGATAAACAGCAATAGAACATACACACACATGGGATATCTACTCCCTCCCCCATCAGCTTGACAAGTCACTTGCTGGGTGACCTTGACAATTACTTTACTTCTGCAAGCCTTGTTTGGCTTTTTTTTTTTTTTTTTTTTGTGCTTATTAGTTTGTAAAGTGGCAGTATCAAACAGTATCAAACCATCTTCTTCCAAGTCATGAAGTCAAGTGAGAACTTTGCTGTACAGAGGAGTGCAGAAGTGGATAGACTCATCCTCTCCAGGATTTTGTTTTTCTGCAGGTTTATTTTGAAACAACGTAAGGAAGTGAGCCGGAGTGGGAGGGCTCCCTGGAGGCGAGCAGGCCAACAGGACCTGAGAGCCTTCTTTGTGTTTGCCCTGACAGCCCTGACAGAGTTGGTAGAAAGTCAGTAGTGACTATAGGCTGTAGGTTTGGCTCTGCAGTTTTCAGAGCACCTGTGTGTGCAGTGACTCCTTTGAGCAGTCTATGATGTAAGGAGAAAGCCTGCACTCGTGACTGCTGCTTGGTACCTCCCCAGACACTCTCACATGTATGTGGAGGATGACCCCTCTGCTGCTCTTGATTGGTGCTAGAAAATGATGCCTTGCTGTTCAAAGAGTAAGCTGCAGGCTCTTAATATCATCCACCACCTGGGAGCTTATTAGGAGTTAAACGCCCATTCCCCCAAGGATGGGCAAGCACTTATATACAGAATTCTCTATTTCCAATAAGTTCCCAGTGATGGCAGCTCGTGGACCACAGTGAGCAGTGGGGTTCTAGAGTCTTCTCAAGCTGGTTCTTTAGATGAGTCTGTGTGCCCCCATTTGAGGAGTAGAAGATGAAGGATGCTCTTTATGTTTCCAGAGACTCTGCCTTAAGATACACAGCCTAGTGTAAATACGGCAGGGGTTTTCTGTTATGATGCAATGTGTTATAACCTACTTAACCTACCAACCAGTGTTCTGAACTCTGAGGAACAATGTGAGAACATGGTATCCCAGAAAGTTGCTAAGTGGACTGGGTAGGGAGAGGGGGAAGAGATGTTGTTTGATGCCAGTACATTAGCAATGTATCATTGGGCAGCAAACAGTGATAAAATGATATCACTGCAGAGGACGGTTTATGAGTGCTAAACTAAGATAGCTGGACGTAAGATTCATGGGGACATGGAGTCAGGTCTGCTACACTTGGCAGAAGAGTGATAGAAGAGAAGTAGGCTGATGCTCACATCAGTGACTGCACATGGACATTCCTGACTGCTCACAGGGTCACTGTGAGACGGCAGGGAAGGAAAGGCTGTGGGACCTGCTTCCCTCCTAAAGGTAGGTGTGAGATGTTGATGGAACTGCCCAGTAGGTATTCAGGCAATATCCTGGGGTTCCAGAGAGAATCCTAGCTGATGTTGCGAAGCTTGTGTGTGAAGCTATCTGTGTGGCTCAGCAATTCAGAGAGAGTCCTCCAAGTGAGAAGAGATGAGCTACAGACTCAAGGCCATGACAAAAGAGCCCTCTGAGGGGCCTGACCGAGAACATCTAGATTCTAGAGTGTCAAGGGTGGCTTGACTTTTCTCTTAATATGTAATAATGATATTCAAGTAAGGCTACGTTATTCACTGTCTGATGGAAGAGTGGAGCCCTGGATTTCTTGTTACTATTTGATGGCTGCTAGCTCACTATTTTCTTCTGTGCATTTTTAAAGGTCCTGAAAATTCTGGTCAGGGCAGTGGTTAATGGTATGACCGACCGAAGTGGAGATGTTGCGTCTAGCCTCAAAGGCAAGCTGCAGGAGTTGTTGGGCAGAGTAACTTCAAGGGTGACCAATGACGGAGAAGTCTGGAGACTGTATGCCCAAGTACATGGAAATGGGCAGAGTGAGAAGCCTGAAGAGAATGACAAGGTCAGTGCTGGGCCTCTGTCTGTCCTGGGCCTCTGTCTGTCCTGGGCCTCTGTCTTTGCTACCACAGGTAAAGAAGGCCTGCTTTTTTTGAATGAAGGATAAGATCAATAATCTGAAACATAAAACTAATATGCTTAAATTCAGTGTGTGTGTGCATGTGTGTGTTTGTGTATACATACATGTGTGCACATGTGTGAGGGAGCAGTCTCATGTGATATTCTCAGGCACCATCCACCTTCTTTGGGTGCTGACTTGGAATTTATCAAGAGAGCCTAGGGGACCCCAAGAATCCTCCATCTCTGCCTCCCTTGTACTGGAGTTACAAGCATATGCTATGTCAGTGTTTTGGTTTTTTGTTTGTTTGTTTGTTTTGTTTTGTTTTTTTTAAATATGTGGTTCTAGGGATTGAACTCAGGTCCTTGTGCTAACTAACAAGGCAGTTACTTTATTGACTGAGCCATCTCCCAGCCTTCATGTGCAGTATTCAGTACTTTGAATGATGGCCACGCTAAGACTTACAACATTCATCATTTTACAATTCATGTATTTCCTGCTGCCGTCATTCTGTTTCCTGCAGGAGCGTCTCTGTCCTGCTGCTTTACAGGAGGGGTCTGCAGTATTTTGCTCTGAGATGAGGCTTCCAAAGGGAAAAAACTTAGCCGAGAGGATGGGAGCAGGAAAATGCAGGTGCTTGACACTTTACAGAGATGCCTGCTCTTCCTGTGAGGCAGTAGGTTGCCAGTTCCACTCCATTTGTGCTGTTAGCCTCTTGTCTTCAAGCTCAAAGGAGCCCAAAATATCCAAGGTTGGGATCATTGTTTTGTGTTTTTTTTTTTCAAAATAGCCACAGCAAATCAAATGTACTCATGTGGGTTTGGAGTTAGCCACGGTACAGCTAATCCGTGGGATTCTTGTTGTTCTCCAATCCTTCCATCTGTACAGCTGGCTTCTACCATGGCCTTGTCAGCCATCAGAACACATGTTTCACGCATGCATGTGCACACTCCTACTTTCTGTCCCCTGTTGCTTTCTGATTTTCTACTCTTGCAAATAAGAGCACTCTTACCCGTGAGTCTTGAGTTCTCCATCAAGACTTTTGTTTCATTAAAGATGAAACAAAAGAGCCTTTTAAATGTCTGTGAAGTTATTTACCTGTTAGCCTGTTCATACCATTCCCCAAGCTCACTCCTCACTCTCTACTGTACTTCTCAGCTTCACAGCTGAGGAAGTCTTCACACTTCTACAGGTTTCTAAGCCTGACCTTCATATTTTCCTGGTTCTGGGAAAGGTGGCAGTCCAGATGCATCCTCGGTTTCTCGAGGTTGTTTGTTGCTCTTGGATGTGCATCCTACCCCTTCTTTGATGATTACAGAGATTCTGCCTCACAATGCAGATGCTGGTTTTTCAGTTTAGAATTAGTTCCATATGACTTTCAAAAACATTTGAAATGTGAATGCCCCTTGTTTTGAATGTTGTTCTTTCTCGTTTCCTAGGCATTCCAGTATCTCTCGAAGGCATACAAGTGTGACACACAGTCCAGTTGTTGGGAGAAAGATGCTACAGCATTTAAGGAAGTTGTTCAGAGAGCCATAGGACTCACACATGGTATTTGATATCCATATGTATTTCAATGCATTCTTCACTGATAAAATAGTATTAGTCAGAAACCAAGTTCTATTACAGGTACTTCCTGATTACTTCAGCATTTTGATATTGTTGTATTTCATTCAGAAACATTTATAGAACACTTTGGTCCAATACGATCAAACAGGACAGAGGCTTAAATCCTGCTTGAATAAGTGACATAGTTAATAGAACCTTAGAGTGTGAAATATTTTTCTACTAAGAAACCTTTATTATGTTGTTGTATTAAGGAAAATCATTAACATTTCTGTAACTGATAGTCTTAATTTATAAATAGAAGTGCAAAAAAAATCATCAAAACCTGTAGACCTCTGGATATTTAGCATTATATGAAAAGCTATGATATATACAAAACTATAAAATATAATTCCTATCTTTGGGTAATTTAGAGTCTATAATTTAAACCTTACCTTATAATAAAACCTTATCTCTTATAAAATTGTTTGCTTGTTAGATAAATATAGTGCAGGCTTAGACCACTCTTGCATTATCAAAAAACACTCAATTCAGTGGTGCATTGAATGTGGGTGTGTTATGCCCTGGGAACATAATCCCAGTGAATTAATAAAGTCCCAGTTTTTGAAATAGAGTCACGAACACTGTAAGCCTCCTAGTTCCCGGCCTAACGTTTACTGCCCTGATAGTGACAGCAAATTGGAGCCAGCAGGGAACAATGAGAAAGACAGAGCTTTGGAACCAGGGACACTAAAGCCCCAGGACCACCTTTATCATGTGCTTGATGGGTGACACTGGACCAGGGATTTAACGTCCCTGGGCCTTTGTTTGGTTGTAGGTAAAATGAGAGAATGCCTACCTGTGCTGTAGGGAGAATCCACCAGGGCGTTTCGTTTCACTGTTTACGCGTATTTTACATGTCCCTTAAGTGTAACTCTCTCCCACCCCCACCCTGTTTCTTTTGAAGTAGAGGACCTGGTCCACATGATAAGGAACTCAAAGATACGTAAGGAATGGGGATAAAGTTTAACTGCCTGTAAAGAAGTCATAGAACATTCAGATTGTTCAGAATGGGCTTAGGAGTTAATAATTCTTCTCGTGGCCTTTCAGATCTTTGACTGGAAGAATGTAAGTGTCCAGGTTCCTGGACCACCTAGGATTGGCAGATAAGATGGAAAGCTGAACTCAGGGGCTAGAAGGTAGAAAGTCTGAGGTGGTTACAAGTGAAGTCTGTTTTGGGGGTGCTGCAATTCTGTGGCCTGTGCTAGTCAAAGGGGAGATTCAGTCCTTTTACCTTTGTGGGTGTGATATTATGTGTGGGAAGCCCCGACTGATGTGCACTGTGTATATACTTAGCAAGGTAGGACTTACTCTGAAGAATATCTTCTCTACTTAAGTTTTCCCTCTGTAAACATCTCTGAACCCAGCTCTGTAATGGTCAGACAGACCCAGATAGTTTGTGTCATTACCGAGTGCTGGCTTTAAACCTGTCCACCATAACTGCAGGCTGGAGAAATACTCCAGAAAACCATCTTCTGGCACGCGGCCCAGGTTTTGTGTTACTCCCTTCCCCTTTTTTGTCTTTGTCCCCCACACTGTCTCTTTACCATACCCTTTGAAAATGAAATATGACACTTTAGAAAACTTGGTACCAGTTAGATTGCCAAGGGTAAGCATTTCCAGGGACTGTGGCATGCTTGAGACAACAGGGCAGTGCTGCACTGCAGAGCCCCTCTGCTGAGTGCTGCTGCCTTGTGCTGTTTACACTGTCAGGAGCACAGTCATTGCCAGTCTGTGTAGGTCTCTCCTCCCTCTCCTGCCCCCTCCGATGTCTATAATATGCTTTGGAAGAGAGATTGGGATGGGAGCTGATAGCATGTGTGTCCTTTCTGCTTTTTCTTGTTTTCTGTTAGATGAAAATTATTTTTTATTTATTTTTTAAGATGATGATGATGATGATTATTGTTGTTGTTGTTATATTGGAGACAAAGTCTTTCCTTGTAGTCTTGTCTGGCTTGGAACTCAGTTACTATGTAGACCTGGCTGGCCTTAGACCCAGAGAGATCCTGGGTTCTGCCTCTGCTTCCTAGTGCTAGGATTAAAGACATGCACCAACACACCTCACGTTAAGAATGAAGGATTTTTTAAAACTAGAAGAACTACAGATGTTTCTAGAATAAGCTACTAGGCATTAAGCAAACTGTATACCTCTTCTGTGGTGACAGCAACGTTTCCCTACTGAGAAAGAGTCCCAGTACCTGATTGACTGGGCCCTCTGAAAATGGGTTTAACATTGATAACTAGTGTGCATTCAGCGTGAGGCTTGGTAAAGTCTGATCATTATTCTGAAATATAAACATCCAGCCCAGGTATTATTGATGGCTATAGGTATTGTTAATTAAGATTAAAGCTATTTTACAAGGCCGGAGATTGTTTCTGCTGATTGCTTAGAGTTTACAGCTATGATCTGTGATGCTGTAGTTTTAAAATGGGATGTGCAATTTAGTGGACATAATTTTTTAAAATGTATTGTTTTATGTATAGGAGTGTTTTTCTTGCGTGTGTGTCAGTGCTCATTTGTATGCAGTGCCTGCAGAGTCTAGAAGAGGGAATCAGATCCCCTGGAACTGGGTTCTAGACAGTTGTGGACTACTGTCTGGATACTGGCAATTGAACTCAGGTCCTCTGGAACAGCATTAAGTGCTCTTAACCCCTGAGCCATCTTTCCAGCTCATGAACATAATGTTAAGAAACAAAAGAGAAAACAATGGATAGATCCCAGGCACCTTTCTGTGTAGAGGGCTGCAGTTGTTCTTACAAGGCATCAACAGCCGGTCCTCCTCCGGGAAGAATAAGCTCCCTTCAGAATTCCATCTCAGAGAAGCAGGTTTCCAGAATGCTAGAGGCAGAGTTTCTAGGGATGAGAGATTCCCTCAGTGCTGATGGCAGAGGTGGCTTGGGAGCCATGCTTACATTCTCAGAATGGAGATGTGCAGATTTGTTGGCGCAAGTTCTCTGAGAATACTATAAAATTTGGGAATTAAAAATGCAGCAAGCTTGAAACATGTGTTGTGTCACTTTGCTGGGCCAGTCAGATCAGCATCCATGAGTTCTCCTTAGTGACTTGGGACCATGGACAGCCCACTGAGATGTGCTGTAGCTGCATTAGTCCTCTGTGTGTGCCTTGCTTTCAGTGGGGCTTTGTTTATTTGCTTGCCTAATTCACTGGTGTGTGTGTGTGCGTGTATATGCGTGGGTATGTGTATGTACATACGTGTGTGGGATCCCTGCCTAATGCAACTCATCCAAATGCCCCACTTTTCTCAGAACTCTCCTTAGCAGTGCTCTCCTGTATGGGATAGATGGAAAGGATCGGAGTGTACCTCGGGTAGATGGGTGTTGCCCAGCATGCGCAGCCTGGGTTTCATTCCCCAGTTCCATCAAGGAGAAAAGAGTGAAGGGGAAGAAGGAGTTAGGGAAGTACATACTTCTAAAGCTTATTACTGTAAATTCGTAGTAAACGGCTGCTTTTTGATCCTGGAGATGATCTGTGCTAATGCTTTCCCTGCGTTTATCTTGCAGTGGCTATAAAATGCAGTGAGAGCAAGTCCAGTCCACAGGAAGCTGTACAAGCACTTTCTTCAGTTCGACTCAATTTACGTGGCTTGTTATCCAAAGCAAAGGTAAGAATGACCTTCGAGTTCACTAGAACTGTGGAGGGAAAGGTCATCAGCCTCAGGTCATGCTGCTAAAGAAAATAAATACATAAAAGGCAAACTGGATTGCACTTTACAAAGTGAAAGTGAGTAGAGATAACTATCAAAGCTGGGGCAGGCTTGGTCAGCACGGCTCTGCCTTCCGTTGTCTGCCTAGAGACGGCAGGAAGTCAGCTCCTAGAGCTGTTGTCCTCTGCCTCCCATTGCCCAGTTAAACACCTGCCACTCAATCCAAACATCTGCACAGAAACTATACATTTGCAGGGAATTTTAATAGCCTCTGCTTGTAGGTCAGTGAGGCCAGGTCCTCTCAGCACAGTGTAGCTCCTCTGTCCCCAGCACCTCGTCCTTGTACAGGTCAGAGCCAAGAATGGCATGAGGGCTGTAGGGAACTGAATCAGGAACCCTGCAGATCGATGGTGGAGCAGATCGATGCTCCACAGGTGTTTTGTTGTTTCTAAGCCTCAGTTTCTCTCCACTCCTCCTGCTTCATGGAGAAGGAATGCAGGTTGGTTGTGATTTGTAAGTACTTGACTCTTGGTTCAGGAAACACAGTGTGTGTTCAAATTCCCTGACTAGAAGATGTTTTGTCTACCCAGAACACTGCAGCACTGTTTCTGTCAGCCTGTTAGGATGTGCTGTTGAACAATACAAATTATTCAATTCAGACGAAAAAGATGTATAGCAAGCCAAATAAATTACATGTCATAGTGAGACAGCTGTCTGCTATCTGCACATGTGTGCTCATAAAATCTTGGGGCTGATTTTCCTGACTCACCAGGCGTGCACAGTAAATAGACTTTTGTTTGGATGAATGAACATCATTCATTCAAACACTATTGTCTAACATTGACAAAAGCAGTCAACATTTAAGAACAGAGCAGAGATTTGAACCCAAGGCCTTAGGCCCTCTGGGCAAGTGTTCTCTACCAGTGTACTATAGTTAGAGAGCTGTTGAATCTGTAAGTTCATGCTCACAATTTCTAGGGTCTGAGCAAATGCTGCATTGCTGCTACACAGTTGCATCCTGCAGAGAGCACTGGGACTCTGGATTGCTGTGTTGACTCAGTGTTGTGTCTGTGTTGCTTGGAAGAAATTGTCACCTTTTGATGGCCGTACTGTTTTTACATTGCAGCAGAATTTTACAGATGTGGTAAGTGGAGAAGTCTCTGGAGAGATAGCCAGTGAAATAGCAGCTGTGAATGCTCTGGAAGCAGAGCTGCAAGACCTCAGCAACCAGCTTCGAAACCAGTACTGACTGACTATGAGAAGCAGCTTGTGACAGTCACTTCTGCCTTCTCGAATTCCTCCAATACCTGTATATCTAAAACACAAGATACCAGTTTTTAAAATAAAATTGTTTGCCGGCAAACGTACTTCTTTGTGACATTCTCAGATGTTTGCACTTGTGAAGTTCATTAAACAGAAAGATTGTTTGTCCCTTAGTCTGGTTATTGGTAAGTTCAGGGTTTGCACTCTTGAAGCTTTCTGGCCTAAGGATGAGGCCAGCACAGGCTTCATCCCTGCCCAGCCTCACATGAGCGCATCATTCTTTGGAAAAACTTAGTATAAATGAGGTGGGGGGACAAGGCTCAGACACCACAAGCCTGTGGAATCATTAGCTTGGCTCCATTACAGTCCAAAAATGAGAAAAGAGTGGACTTGATGCTGGAAACATTTACACTTGTTGGGATCTTGTGTCTGTGTCACAGACACAGACTTAGCTAAGTTGGAAGTGTGAGTGTGGTTTAACTTCCAAATCAAGAAACAAGAAAGAAAAGAGGGGACACACCCACATTACGACTCTACCGTTAACTACTAGGAACCAGGCTGTTAGCTCTTCATGGTGTCACTGCCAGGCCCAAAGACATTGTTTCATAAGCTTATTGTAGGTAAAGACAGCTAGAAGTGGTGCCATATATCAAACATGCCTGACTGCGAGGCTTGCTTAGTAATATCAGTGGAAATGTGCACTGAAGGCAGCTGCTGAGTACAATAATGTCACTACAAAAGTCGAAGAAAGGAACTGTTAGGTTTCTGGCCTGAGTTGTTCACTTTTGGGTTCCATGCATGGTGTAAACCACTTGTCCCTTGTATTTTTACATGTTTTTATTTATAACTGGGAATAATTTCGACTCTTATTTTCTTTCTGGTTTTAGCTGTCTTTGGAATTTAACATTTCATGATTGATCAACATAAAGTAGTCTTAACACTTAAAGGGTCTTTAAAAAATTTGTTTCATAAATTAATTTTGTGTATGAATGCTTCCCAGTTCCAAATACTCTAGTCCTTTAACCATCTGCTTCTCTTTCTATTATCATAGTCCCTTAACCATCTGCTTCTCTTTCTATTATCATTCTGGCTTTCAAGGGGAATAAATATGTCCTAAAGTTTCTGCTCTAAAAGACAATACTACTGAAAAATTTCAGTAATGTGAGATGGTAATAGGTATTGTGATTTGGGGTCTATTTAAGTCATTTAGGGAAGCCATTGAGGAGTGGAGTGGGTGGGTGAATATCAGATAGGACATGAATGTGGATGCTGGGGGCAATGTGTGGAGCAAGGTTTTAAGTGAACACTTTTTCAGTACCAAACTGGGAACCCTAGCAGGTAAAAGAGAAATGGGAAGAAAAGAAATACCCAAAAGAGGAAATCAAGTGAACAAATGAATCAGTTTATTCTCCTTTTAGTTCAAGGTTGGATGGCCACTGTGGTTATAGTGGTCACAAGTCACATTGCAAAGCAGTCGCCTCCATTCTGTTGGCTTCTCCATAGCTATGCTGGGTCACAGTCTCTCTTTTGTCATGGGGTGTTTGCTCAAAAGAGAGCTACTGATGTCCTCCTTTAGAGGTAGACCAAAAATGAAAAAAGAAGTGATATGGCATGGTGGGTGTGGAATTGTGGATGTGGAATGGCGGATGTGGAATGGCGGATGTGGAGTGGCGGATGTGGAGTGGCGGCTGTGGAGTGGCGGCTGTGGAGTGGCGGCTGTGGAGTGGCGGCTGTGGAGTGGCGGATGTGG